CATTCTCCTCTCGGGATCTTGGGCACGCATGCACACGTGCCCAGCGTGAGTTTAAGCCACCGGGTCTGGGACGTGAACCGGGGTCGACTACGTGGGAGTCCAGAGACATAGCCATTATGCTAACTGCTGGTTCCCAAGTACTGAATATTAAAAATGGTTTCCTTCTATAAAGAGATTTCTTCATTCTGGGTTTTTTTTTTTTTTTTGAGAGAGGTTTTTGCTATAGGGCACGTATGCTCGCCAGAAAGACAGAGAGAGACAGAGAGACAAAAAGTGAGAAATCACCCCCTAGCGGGGATGGCCACACCACAATCCCTTCTCCTCCATTCTCCTCTTGAGATCTTGGGCACACACATGTGCCTGGCGTGAGTTTAAGCCACCGGGTCCGGGACGCAAACCGTGGTCGACTACGTGGGAGTCCAGAGACATAGCCATTATGCTAACTGCTGGTTCCCAAGTACTGAATATTAAAAATGGTTTCCTTCTATAAAGAGATTTCTTCATTCTGGTTTTTTTTTTTTTTTTTGAGAGAGGTTTTTGCTATAGGGCACGTATGCTCGCCAGAAAGACAGAGAGAGACAGAGAGACAAAAAGTGAGAAATCACCCCCTAGCGGGGATGGCCACACCACAATCCCTTCTCTTCCATTCTCCTCTTGAGATCTTGGGCACACACATGTGCCTGGCGTGAGTTTAAGCCACCGGGTCCGGGATGCAAACCATGGTCGACTACGTGGGAGTCTAGAGACATAGCCATTACGCTAACTGCTGGTCCCTTCGTTCTGTTTTTCTGAACTTCTCAGTCTTTTATCATGGAGGGAAGAAACACACCTTTCCTCAGGAGACTAAGGAGCGGTAACAGGTGATATTTCTGTAGAAGGGTGAGCTCTCTGGGCAGTCAAGGATCTCCTATCATTTTGAAATGAATAAACAATGCTAACTGGATAAGGAAAAGTCTTATTCCACTTGTGAACATTAGAGCATGTGTGTTACTAAATAATGAAGAGAATCTAACAAAACCCAATCAGCATTATTTTGAAAGCGTAGCACAGTTCTGAGCTGTGTTCCACCCTACCTTTCCCGATGATGAGGAGGGGCCGCCTGGCACTCCGGATGACAGACGCCGCCATGCACACAGCGGAGGCCTCCGCCATGCTGATGGGGGGAGGCATGCAGCACTCCAGGTATCTGGAAAGAGAAGGGTCTGCTCATTAAAAGGCCGAGTCCAAAGATTTTATTTTGTAAACATAAAAAGAAAAAAAATCGTCCAATACACCCAGGTACCCACTGTAAGGCTGGCCGCTATCACTCCTCCACACTCGCCTCTACACACATGTGCTTCCTCTCCTGAGTGATTTTAAAGTGCACGCTGGGCATCGAGACCTTTAGCCCTTGAAAATTTCCCCAGGAAGCACCAAAAGATAAAGATGTTCTCCAAGACAGCCATGACACCCTCGTCCTACCTGGCGAACTCTCGGTTTTTCCCTGTCATCCATCTAGTAGTCAAGCGGGTGATTCATGGATGGGAAATCTGGGTTAATGGCGTCATACTATAGTGACGGCTGTTGTTACAATAACAGCACCATACTAAAATTAGTACTCCACTCTTACCATGTGCCACTTGTTATTATTTTATTTTCGAAACAATGAGGTTAAGCCTTACCATTATATCCATTTCACCTTTGAGAAAAACAGAGAAAGTAGGTCGCCTCCCAAGGTCCCCAGACAGCACGTGCAGAGACTGGACGAGGAGTGACGGGGTCGTGCTTCTAACCGTCCCCCTGCCCTCCCAGCCACCAGGCGAGTGAACGCTCCAGACCAGGATACACAGCGGGAAGAGAAATGCCAAACAGTTGAGGGAAGCTGGGTCCCACATGGCCAATGCGGTCCAGTCTGGAAACCACGCTGGGTATGTGTGCATGCATGTCTCAATCCCAGCAGGGTAGAGAGACGGTGCGGAAGGGACTGTGCTGCGGCCGCCCCCGTTGGAGCTGGTTTGCCCTCACCCTGGCTCTCTGGCAAGTACACGTCCTCTGGCAATGAAAACTGTTGGTCATAGGCAAATATTTCTGGACACCAAGTCCTCACTGCGGTATTTCATTTACTCTAATTAATAAAAATTATACTTGGGCAAAATTTGGACATATGCAATAGTCCAAATGTGGACAGAGAACACTGCCCAAGTTGTCAATACCTGTCCACGTGACGTACCCAGGCAGGTTGTGAGAGGACCCTGCCTCTGTAAAAGGCGAAGAAGGCCAGCTTAGAGGGGTGACTCCCCACCCCAGCACGTTCGGATTGCCCGACATGGCTCACACAACACGGGCACCGAGGCCTGCTTCCTTCCGCACTCAGATAGCGGTCCACCGCCTCTGGCCCAGCACGGCAGGATGCCCTGGACAGGACGGGCTGTGTGCTCCCGGGGCGCAGCTTCGAGTCCCAGCCCTGGAGGGGTGACTCAGGTACTGGTGAGACCGTGCTTCCTGTGCTTGTTCTCACACAGTGATTGTTGAAAACTAAGGGATGAGATAAACCACATGCTCACCGTGTGGGAGTTTTTAAATTGCCACAGGAATCTTTGAAATTGCACGTGTCCTCAGAGAGAGGGAAGGGAGAGGGGAGGTGTGGACTTGCTGCAGTCCCTTGTTGGGATATGGAGCGTGCACACACACACACACACACACACACACTCACACACATTAGGACACTCATGACAAACGTATGCACTCACACTCACACACTCACGCACGTGCTCACATGCACACACACACTTACACATGTGCACAGATTCTCACACATGCACCTGGTGTGTTTTCCAAGCCACCAGGGTCAAGATTTGAACTGCGGTTTGTCATGTAGGACCAGGCTCCCTGAATCCCCGCACTGTGAGGCCAGACCAGTGTTGGAGTATTTGTAAATCAGAGTCCCCCAGACAAGCACTCTGTACCCTGAGTCCCAGCAATCTCCCAGTCGGCCCCTCACTTCTTGGTCTACACATGAAGATGCTCGGTAACACCACACTAATGAGTATATATATTTATGACTACTATGAAATAATTAAGTCAGTAAACTCTTAAGTATTAGATTGAGTGATTAAACCTCCAAATAATTACTAAATAATACCACTTTAATTAAGAGAATTAAGCCCTGTGGCTTGGACCCAGTTTAATTACTGAATCATCAAAAGTGAAGATGAATGGGGATTAGTTTAAAAACTGCCAGGTAAATTCTTTTTAAAAGATTAGTGTTACGTGAACACAGTTACAACAGAATTCCAGTAAAACTGTGTATTACTCACTTCACGGAATCTGCGCTCACTTGGAGGGTCACAAAATCTGCAGGTATGTCCACATAGCAGGCGCCCGGACGGCCATAAATACTGCTTCTCACTGCCTAGGTGGTTAGAAAAGGGGAGTTAGAAATCTGAGTCTTTACGACAGCCTGCTCAGAGGATGTAAAACTGGACCATTTACTTTCTTTCTTTCTCGGGGCATCTTTAGCTGGAGGAGAAACCACAGGCTAGAATGCAGGGCAGAGGCGCAGCGCAAAGCTCTGGAGGCTGACCCGCACAGTTAGGTGCCTGGTTCGCACCAGGAGCCCTCCCTGAGCACGCTGGGCACATACATGCACACTCAAATTCCAGCCAGCTGAAGCCGGGCGGGCCATGGCATGGGGATTGGGCAATAGTGCTGTTTGGCTCTCTCATTCATAGAATGAACAAACTTTTACAAAAATCTATTATTTTAAAGATGTTTTGCCAGAAGGTGTGTGCAGTGTGTGCGAGCCAGAGAGAGAGAAAGAGAGAAGCAGAGAGAAGTAAAGTGAGAAATCACCCCCCACCATGGGGGATGGCCACGCCTCAATCACTTTTCCTCCGTTCTCCTCTCAGGATTTTGGGCATGCATGCATGCATGCATGCACACACCCCCAACATGATTTTCAAGCCACGGGGTCTGGGACTCAAACCGCTGTCCGCCATGTGAGAATCCAGCACTTTAACCATGCCAAATGTGGACCCGTAAATTTTTAAAAACACCTTTAATGAAAACGGAAATGTATTCTATTAAGTCTACATATTTTTTCTTTCCAGTTTTAGTTTTTAATTTGACCAGAGAGACAGAGAGAAGGGAAGTGAGAAAGGAAGGTCCAGGACCTGAACCATGATTGGACATATGGGAGTCCAGAGCCTTAACTACCACACCACCTGCTGGACCCAAGTCTATGTATTTTTAAAGATTTTGGGGGGGAGGTTTTGGAGCCAGCAGGTGGCATATTGGTCAAGGTGCTGGACTCCACTTTGGACAATAGTGGATCGGGTCCCAAACCCGGCAGCTTGAAACTCAGGCCAAGCACATGTGCATGCATGCTCAAAATCCTGAGAGAAGAATGGAGAAGGAACTGCAATGTGGCCATCCCATCTGGGCGGTGATTTCTCACTCTCTCTCTGTCTCTGTATCTTTGGCGAGAACACATACCCTATAGCAAAACTCTCTCTCTAAAAAGAAAAATAAAAGATGTTTCTGTTTAAAAGAGGAGAGAAAATTAAGTACATACAGGTGACCACTGAACAACTTGAACAGGGTTAAGGAGTTCCCATCTCTGCATGGTTAAAAAATACATGCATGACTGTTTTTTTAAGAATTATTTTTATTTAACTTTATTTGTTTATTTAATTATTTAATTTGACCAGAGATGGACAGAGCAAGAAAGAAAGTGAGAAAGCAAGCCAGCAGGTCCAGGACTTGAACCACGGTCGGCCATGTGGGAGTCCAGAGCCCTTCATCACACCACCTGCTGGGCCCATGTATAACTTTTTAACGACTTAATCTAATAAAAGTTTATTTAAACATAATGCATGCTAGTAAGTGTTAAAGTCTGAACAAAAAGCATGAATTTCAATTAAAGTATATGTTAAATCTAGAAAGTCAGACAACTTTAATACTCTTCCAATCGAATCACTTGTGCCAAAGGATATTATACTCTTAGTCTTGGACATTACTCCCGAGGCTCAGCCTGGCGGGCTTGCTCTGTAGCATGCACTGTCTCCTGCTGCCTAACCGGCATGCCAGGGCCTTTGGGAACAAGGACACCGCAGCGTGTCACGTGGCTTCTGTGACTCAGGTTTGAACCAGCTCAGACATAACTGCACGAATAAATGCTGTCTAGGTAAAATGGACCCATCACACGCTGTTCACTCAACTAAAAGGTGATTTTATGTGTGTTAGTTTTGATTTTCAAAAATAATCTTGCAAAAGCATTAAAAAAGTATGCCCAGGGGTTCACTATATCCTTTTATAACTTCCAAATGATTGAAAAGATCATTTTAAAAACTAAAGGATATTAAAAGCTTTTTCCAAAAATAACTTATTTTACTTCTTTGTTTTATAATTAGATGTACTGGCAGTGAACATTAAAATGTAAATAGCTCTTTCACAATGTCATTTCTAACTGCCTGGGTGTAATTCTGGTTACATATTCTATAGAAAATAAAAACAACATAGGCATGAGAGAAACAGCTGACTTGGAGAACTTGCTATTCAATACCGTACCTTTTCAATAACAGAAGGAATTGCTTCTACACTGCTTGGCCGGACAGAGAATTTGGTATATAATCGACAAGCTTCAACCTATAAGAAAAATGTCACTTATCAGTTCATAGATCATATTACTTTTCTAAAGGGAAATAAAATGTTGTCATTACTCTCTGTTATATTGAGAGGCCAAGATGGAGACCAGCAGATGGCATAACGGTTACGTCATTGGACTCCCACATAGTCTATCACAGCATGAGTCCTGGCCCTTGTAGCTTAAAACTCATGCCGGGCATGTGTACGTGTGTGCCCAAAATCCCAAGAGAAGAATAGAGGAGAAGCGACTGTGGTGTGGCCATCTCCCCTTAGGGGGTGATTTCTTGTTGTCACTCTGTCTCTCCTGCAAGTGCATGCATTCTGTTGCAAAAAAGTTTCTCTTAAAAAAAATAGAGGCCACGACGGAGAAAATTAATTACATGTGCGGTCTCTTAAAAGCCCTATCAAAGCACAATCAAATTTCTGTCTCAATATGGCTCAGAAAGGAAATCAAAATACGATACAGCTCTCGGATTAGCTAAAATGAAAAAGGTTAACTTTAATCACTAACTACCATGAGGGGAAAGCAGGCATCCTCATAATCTGCTGGTGAGAGTATAATGGGAGGGGAAATTGACAGCTACAAAAAGCGTAAATGAGCATACCCGGACGGCAGTCCCTAGGCAGTCCCAGTTAGTGACGCACAACTTCATCTGTTACCTCTTGTTACAATAGGGACACTTGCTTATATTTATACCAGCTGTTCTGACATATTGTTGCCATGCTGTGAGGAACACTGTAATGTTTCAGGTTTAATGCCATGAAATATCACATAGTAACTCTCTCTCTGTCCAGTGCAATGGAATAGTTCTTGAGGCGCTGGATCTCTCAAGGCCCACTGTGCAGTTCAAGTGCTGGACAGATGGCTTGAGAAACACACCAGGAATGTCCCAAGTCCTGAGAGAATGGAGAACTGAAGAGCTGGTAGGGTGACTATCCCCCATGCGAGAAGCTTTCTCATGTTCCTTCTCTCCCACTCTCTGCTCTCCCGTAAGCACACATGTCCGCTGGCAAAATTTAAAAGAGCAACTTAGAGATTTTTTGCTATAGGATGTGTGCACTCCTCGGAAAGACAAACAGAGACAGAGAGACAGAAAGCAAGAAATCACCCGCAGGGGGGATGGCCACACCACAATCCCTTCTCCTACATTCTCCTCTCGGGATCTTGGGCATGTACACACACGGCGTGAGTTTTAAGAAGCCAGATCCAGGGCTCAAACCGCGGCGCAATACGTGGGAGTCAAGCACCATAACCATTACACCATCTGCTGGTCCCCAAAAATGAACTTTCGCTTCATACTCTTTTGCATGAAATCTATGGAACAATGGCATCTTAGTCCCATAGGCATGAAAGACTAACGAGTAACCTACAACTTTGTCTTTTTATATTTATGTCCTTCAGATTTGTTTTTTGTTTTTTAAGAGAAAGATTTTTTTCTATAGAAAGCATATGTTTGCCAGAGAGAGAGAGACACAGAAAGCAAGAAATTACCCTCCTTGGGGAATGACCACACTGCCATCCATTCTCCTTGTGGGATTTTGGGTACACACCCACAAGCACCTGGCATGAGCTTTAAGCCACTGGGTCCGGGACTTGAACAGCAGTGGGCCACATGGGAGTTCAGTGCCTTAACCACTATGCCACCTGCTGACCCCTCCCACCCCCAGGAGAAAAATATCTTAACAGACATTTTCCTTTGCTTTCTTTTTTGCATTTATAACATTTCTGTAGTAACTCTCAATTTCTTTTAACGTAACTTTCCTGTAGGGCCAGCAGGTGGGGTAGTGAAGGCTCTGGACTCCCACCTGGTCAACTGCAGTACGAGTCCAAGACTCAGTGGCTTGAAACTCATGCCGGGCATGTGTGCCCAAAATTCTGAGAGGAGAATGGAGGAGAAGGGATTGTGGCCATCCTCCTGGAGGAGGGGAGTGATTTCTCACTTTCTGTCTCTCTGGTAAGTGCACACACCCTATAGCAAAAATCTCTTAAAAAAAAAAAAAGCAACTTTCCTGCTGTATTTCTATTTGAAATATATCAGCCTCAGTAAAAGAACTGTTCTGATTGTCCACCATCATCTACAAAGAGTATAAAATATAACGGCTGTATTAACTTATGGCAGAGTCCAGTATTTTTTATATTCGTTTATAAAATAAAGTTCTGTATATTTGGAAATTCTCACAATTCTTGATTTACCAACAGGCTCTAGTGGTTTGACCTTTGCTCCTAACTTTGACCTGTCACTGCTCACATATGTCTGTATCTTAAATGTTAATCATTTACTCTCCCCATTTGCTTTCCACATCTATTCTCAAAACTCTTAACATTTCGCTGACAAACTTCTTTCCATTTCAAAATATTTACCTTCCTCTTAAAATGAAAATAAGCCTGTCCAGAGCCTACCAATGATCCGGACAGGAGTTTTTATATCTTCTTCCTAACTCTTAATGGTGTGGAACTGTGTTGTAAAATCTTTGCACTGGGTACCTGAGGAAACTCCTGGAAAGCTCCCATCGTTTCTTGATTTCTTTCAGAGGAACCACCAATCACAATCAAGGGCCTGAAATAGTCAGTTTTAAAAATATATATATTACAAATGAGTTAGCATATAAAACATTCAGCTGAGTGTTCAATGCTCAAAAGACATTCGACGACTGTTGAGGTAAGGAGAGAGATGACATTTGCCCTTGAGAACTATAAATTAAAAGGTATTGAGGAAGCGACCTGACATGCCAGCACGCTTTCTCGGTTTCATAAAAGTACATAATCACAGTACAGCCAGGCGGGGGCACTGTTGAGATGGTCTTGTCAATAACAATTCATTACCAGCAGTTCATGTGTGCATTTGCCATACCGCCCAAGGCGTGGATGAGGCCTGGGCCCGACACGACAAGGCAGACTCCTGGCCTAGAACCGAAACAGAAGTCCTGTGGTTAAAAGCAGGTCGAATGTCGTTAGGGAGAGCCTGGCACTCTTCCTGGACTTCAAAGGAAGGACACATACCCCTCTACTCTAACTGGTAACATAATTAGTAGAATATTCTTTCATTAAAAACCACAAGAGCAGGACCAGTAGGTGGCATGGTGGGTAAGGCACTGGATTCCCATGTGGCTGACTCCACGGTTTGAGCCCTGGACCTGGCAGTTTGAAAACCATGCTGGGCACGTGTGCATCCACAATCCTGAGAGGAGGCTGGAGGAGAGGGGACTGCGGCATGGCCATCCCCCCAGGGGATGATGTCTCATTTTCCCTCTCACTGTCTCTCTCCAGCAGGTGCATATACCATGTGGCAAACACCTAAAAAAGTATGTATATAGAAGAAATAAATTAGAAAAAACATTCTCAACAGTTGTAGGATCAAAAGTGATTTTAGTTTCTTTATACTTTTCTGTATTTTCCAAGTTTTCTAACATGGGAATTTTTTAATGTGTGAATTTTTAGTGTACTCTTTTGTTTGTTTAGTTGCCAGAAGGCATGTGTGCTTGCCAAAGAGAGAGAGAGGGGGAAGGAAGAGGGAGGGAGAAAGTACCCCTCGATAGGCCACGGTCGCCCTGCAATCCTCCTGCCCCCTCCCCACCCACTGGGGTTGTGGGCATGCACATGTGCACGTGAATGTGCCCTGCGTGTGTTTCAAGCTGCTGGACCCCGGGTTCGAACAACAGTTGGTCAAAGGAGAGCTGCCTCCCTAAAATACCCAGCCATGGGGCCGCCCTTGTATTAATTTTTAATAACAGAAGAGGAAGAAGCAAAGAAGGGAAGTAGGTAATATGGCTACACATAGATATCCGAACCCCAGCGGTCCCGTTTCTGAACCAAGCGTGTGGTGTGAAGTGTGGTGAGGGCCTGGGAGAGCCGCGGCTAGATATGACACAGCCACTCACTGTGTATCCCCGGTGAGTCACTCTGCAAAATAGCCATGTGCTCCACCCCTCACCGAAGTACTTTTCTGGTATTCTCGTCCTTTCGAGCTGACCCTTGGAGGGGTCTAACTTTTAATTTTTTTTCTTTATTAATACCATCTTCTATCAACTAATCCTTCAACTGAGAGATATAATGGCTCGAACCTGAAAATATCACAGTAACTGAAATACGCCAGACTGCAGCTTACCTGCCTGTCAGATAGCCAACCGCTGAGGCAGCATAGCAAGCCTACAAAGAAAGAACACGGGACTGATGCACGCGGGGATCCTGACGCACACGGGACTGACGCACGTGGGGATCCTGATGCACACGGGGACTGACGCACGCGGGGATCCTGATGCACACAGGGACTGATGCACGCAGGGATTCTGACGCACACGGGACTGACGCACGCGGGGATCCTGATGCACACGGGGACTGACGCACGCCGGGATCCTGACGCACACAGGGACTGATGCACGCAGGGATTCTGACGCACACGGAGACTGACGCACGCGGGGATCCCTACGCAGGCTGAGTACCCCTCATCTGAAATGCTGGGGACCAGACGTGTCTCAATTGTGGACTTTTTACAGATTCCAGGCTACTCGTGTACATGTAATGCGAGGTCTTGGGCATGGGATTTGAGTCTAAGCACAGAATCTGTTGCTTCCTGCCCACCTTTGTAACACAGCCTGGAAGTAACTCCGCCCGGTAGTCCTGTACTGTGGTTTCGACTACAACCCATCACTCAAGGTCAGGCATGGAGTGCCCCACCAGAGGTATCAAGTAGGCACTTAAATACCGTTGGATTTTGGAGCATTTCAGAGTTTGAATTTCTGTATTAGGGGTGCTCAACCTGCAGTGCATGCTAGGAAAACAATTTACTATTAAGAGACTAAAACTTAATGATAAAGGAGGAATTAAAATAATTTCTATTTTAACAAGAAGTGTTCTGTGTGTAAATTTCCAGCAATAGATTAGATAGATCATTTTTGGGTTTTCAAAGAATTTGTTCATATCATCGATTTATAACATCCTCTTATAACTGCTTAAACAGCTACAGGCTCAATAAGAATCTTCTTTTAGTTACTAATACTGGTAACCTGCATTTTCTTTCTTTTTCAGTTCTCATCTCTGTACATGAGGAGCTTAACACACTTACTGCTCTTTCCAAAGACTTTCTGGCTCTGCCTGTTTTCTCCACTGTTTACTTATTTTGCAATTCACTGATGTTCGCTCTTGTATTTATTTCTCCACTGCTTACTCATTTTGCAATTCACTGATGCTTGCTCTTGTATTTCTCTCTCTCCTTTCATTTTGAGTTGGATTAACTTTCCTTTTTCTAGTTTATAAAAACATAAGCTTCCTGCACTGACTTTTTTTTTGAGAGGTTTTTGCTATAGGGCACATGTACTCGCCAAAAGACAGAGACTGACAGAGAGACAGAAAGTGAGAAATCACCCCCCAGGGGGGATGGTCACGCCACAATCCCTTCTCCTCCATTCTCCTCTCGGGATTTTGGGCACGCACACACACGCGCCCGGCGTGAGTTTAAGCCACCGGGTCTGGGATGCAAACCGCGGTCAACTATGTGGGAGTCCAGCGACATAGCCATTATGCCAACTGCTGGTCCCCCTGCACTGACTTTTGAGCCTATTCGGTGCTGTCACTTACAGCTGTTCTAGTCACAGCCTACGCTGGACAGCGCACCTTTCCCTCATCATTCAGCTCAGAATGTCTCCCCTTTCCCTCGTGTTCTCCTCCTTCAGCCCTTCGGTTAACTACGCCTGCTGTGACTGCTCCGGTTTTATGTCTGATATTGGCACTTGGGTTTCCTCCTTTACTCCTCATCGATCCAGTCTGACGCATATTGATTTTCTTAACCTCTTAAAATGTTAACAAAGTACCATCAACTGTGTTGGTTAACTTCCCAGTATTTGGGATTTTCTAATATTCTTACTGTTCCTGAGTTCTAGTGCATTTCTACAAGGTCAGGGTACACACACCTACGTCTCCCATGCCTGGTGATGGGTCGAGATTTCTTTTGTGACCCGCATATGGCCCATTTTTAAAAATATAGACTATATCTTCTACATTTTTAAAGAATTATTTAACTTTATTTATTATTACCATTATTTTCCACTTTGGTCAGACAGACAGAGAAAGTAAGCCTCCAGGTCCAGGACTTGAACTGTGGTGGGCCATGTGGGAACCCAGCCACTGTATGGCCAGTTTCTACTTTCTGACTGTACTTCAGTCATAACCATGGAGCGAGAGGAGGCGCTACATTAAACCAAATGCATGTAACCTGGAAAATGCTGAGACCTCGTGTCTCAAACGGATTCCTCGTCTGGGACCTGTTTTTTAGCATCATTTCTTCTCTTAGCTCTGACGCCCTCGGACCTGCTCGCACGCTCCCTCGGGATCTTCCCGTCACCCCCGTTAGCTCAGGCTCTTTGCTTAGTTACGTCTTCCCTTGGCTACCAGAGTCAGGCCACCTGAGGGACCGGTGCCCTGGCATACCTGGGGACACCTTGAACTCGTGTGCAAACCGGACCAGCAGCCGCACCCTGGTCTACACGGCTGGGCAAGCCCGACCCAGGGCTGCACCCCAGGGAGCCTGCCCGCCCTCCCGTCACCTCCTGCGGTGTGACTCCCTGAGCTCCCAGCTCCCACGTGTGACACCCTGGAAGTCCCTCAAGGACAGGACCGTGTCATGCCTTGTCCCAGGGCCCAAGAGCACCCGGGCCCTACAGGACCTCCAGCTGAGCTGGCGGGACCTGCTGCGGCCTGCTGCGCCCAGTGCGCCTGCTCAGACCAGCCGGGGTGCCCAGTGCCTGCTGAAAACGCCCCTTTACGGTTTCTTAGGCTTTCCGCCATGAGGGCACGTGCTGGCCACAGAGACGCAGCCCGGGAGCTGAAAAGTCGCCGACGCTAGACCTGGCAGAGCACTGACCCGGACCTGGCGGGCCTGCGTTCGAATCCTGGCTGTGGCTCCACCGTCAGCAGGTCTGTTTAACCTGCCGGCTCTGCTCATCTGCCAGCCCGGGCTAGCCGGCTCGTGCTGTCAGAGGCGGCGCGGCGCCCACGGCACTGCACCCCCACAGGCAGGCCCCGGCTCCAGTCCCGGCCTGGCGGCTGGCGGCGCAACGCCCCGGGGCCCTGCCCTGCTCCCCCTCGGCCCGCCCCGCCGCCACTCACCGCCTGCTCGTTCCTCATCCCGACGCAGCGCACGCC